GAAAGGAAAAATTGAAATCGCATCATATGACCCCTTTAACATAGAATGATACTTTAAGTGATCTACACATATTATCAAACATGGACTTAAATATTTGACACCAAAATTGAACAGTATCAAACATTAATTTATTAAATTTTCCTCGTTAATTCATGCTTTAGCGCCACATTAAACTTACTGCAGTGTTCATGTGAGGATCGCTTTGAGCTTAAAACAGACAAACCTCACAAGAAAGCATACAACATATTTTAACGTGTTTTATTTATCTTGTAAAAGACATGAATCTTGTAGGTTAAGGCTCAGCAGGCCATCCCAAAGTATTTAATTCTCTGTAACTTTACGAATACTGTATGTTCCATATAATCAGCTTTATTTTATAACTGTATTATAAATAATCATTCCCCATTCACTCTTCAAAGTCCAGCACTTCAACCACTTGTAAACAGTATGTCACATAATATTACCTTGTTAATTAACTAGAAAGAAATTACTCTAGAGAGGAGCATTTTGATAGCTTGTATGCATGAGATCATTATATTTTTACTTAACCCGTTTATTTACTTAACCTGTAATTAAATTTTTTATATTCATTAACGTGTTTGAATAAATCTGTTATGAAAAGTTATTACAGGCATTGTTTTAATGTTTATATTTCACCAACAAATTAGAGTGTAGAAACATAATTCTATTATTAAAAAGTTGATATAAAAACTGCCTTATGCACAATTTAAATGTTTGATCAACTCAAGTTGTATTGGAGTGTTGATTATTAAATAAATTTAATTATTGGATTATTAAAGCTTTATATTCATTTCCATTTAGATTTTCGGTTTAAAAAAATCCATGGCATTAATTAAAAGTCTAATATTAATACAATTGTACAAAAAAAAAACTGTATCGTTTTAGGTTTTTGGCCAAGTGCATCCTGAATTTTCATTTCAGTGCATCACTAGTATTAACATCGGAAATACAGTTGCAGGAAACAGTATATATATTTATACATGTATATATTTTTACAGTTAATGCCTAAATGTGCTTTATGTGAGAAAATTTAAATTAACTTAATCATACAAGTCAAAAATGTTGTTTAATCTGCATATCAACCTGACAACTTACATCAATGTAAGTTAAATAAAATGGAAATAGATAGTGGGTTAGATAATGTAGAAATAGATCCTTAAAAATTACAATTGCATTTTTTTCCATTGTATATTTTATAATTTATAATTATTATGCCACCCTAGGATTTTTACTGTCCCCCTCTGGCCACCCCATTAAAAAATGTCTGTAGGTGCCACTGGTTCTACCGTTAAATTATAAATTATATATACCTGTCCCCCTCCCCATTAAAAAATGTCTGTAGGTGCCACTGGTTCTACCGTTAAATTATAAATTATATATTATATATAAACAACTATCATTTTTATAAGTTGCTCCCTTTTCACTACTGTTAAAGGGATAGTTCACCCAAAAATGAAAATTGTC